TCTCTCTCTCTCCCTCTCTCTCCCTCTCTCTCCCTCTCCCCCCTTTCTTCTCCCTTTCCCTCTCCCTCTCTCTCTCCCTTCCCCTTTCCCTCTCCTTTCCTCTCCCTATTCTCTTCCCTCCCTCCTTCTCTCCCTCTCCTCTCCTCTTGCTGTGGCACGTCCCACTCAGACACCCTGCCTGCTGGTTGCAGAGACAGGATCCGCACTTGGAGGAGGGAAAGAGGAGAGTCCCCAGCACTCCAGCACCGACCAGCCTCAGTTTCCCTCTGGGTTTCATCCCTCGCTACTTCCGACCCATGGGAACGGGCAGCACCACCGTCAAGATTATTCTGAAGGAGAAGCATAAGAAAGGTGAGGCTAGGACCCTCCTCCCATCTGCTCATGGGGTAGGGACCCCTCCTTCCTGCACCCCCTACTCTGGTTCTCCAATCTCAATCTGACCGTGAGCTTAAACTCAAAACCAAACACAACTAAATGTACCCTTGAAGATCATGGATCCCGTTTGGCAGATGAGGACACTGAGGTGCCCAAGTACTGGATCAGGGAAAGGACCAGTTCTGTTCCAAGGGGGATGGGGGTTTCTCACTAAGTAGCTCAGACTGGCCTCGAACTTCAGACCCTCCCATCTCAGCCTCCTAAGTCACAGTATTTTACTGAGCTTCTATTATGTCTTTATTGAGAAGTGGAGGAGACAGAACAGAGTCCGTCCTAGGCTCTGCCCCAGTGAGCTCCCAGCCTAGCTGGGAAGACACGTGAATAAATTACCATGACACAGGGCTGGAGACAAGACTGTCAAATAAAGGAGGGGCAGAGCTGATCTGCAGGGTGACAGTGGGGACAGAGAAGGAGCACAGGCTGCAGAAGGAGAGAACAGGGGTTCCCAGTGGGCCTCCGAGGCTGTCAGAGAGGGATGAGTCATGGGGCTACAGGGAGGGGAAGTGAACCTGCTAGAGCACCCATGCCAGGTGTGAGAGTTGTCCTTGGCTCTCCAATTGCCATGCCAGCACTCTCTTTTCCCCACCAGAACCTCGGAGGCCAGGGGAGGGCTCTCCATCCTCAGCACACCCTGAGGGATGTCGGGGTTGGTACAGGTTTTGTTCCCTGGCCAGCATTTTGCAGGCAATGTAGCTGGTGTGCACTAGGCACCCTCTACCTTTTGTGGCACTCACCCTTCCTTCCTCCTCCCTGCTCTCCATGTTCCAGCCTGCACCCACAACGGGAAGACGTACTCCCACGGGGAGGTGTGGCACCCTACTGTGCTCTCCTTCGGCCCCATGCCCTGCATCCTGTGCACCTGTGTGGATGGCGAGCAGGACTGCCATCGCGTGACCTGCCCCACCCAATATCCCTGCAGTCAACCCAAGAAGATGGCTGGGAAGTGCTGCAAGATCTGCCCGGGTAGGAGGGGTGCTGGAGGCAGGGGAGGCACTGGCCATAGGTACTGGGATGGAGGAGGAGTTTATAGGCGCCCAGATTGCTAGAAGCACAGACACAGAAAATACCGGGCTACGTGGAACCACCTAGCATGTCAGTGGGAACCTCAGAGGCTCCTGACATAGACGTGAAGTCAAATGGTGTTTTTGCATTCTTTGAAGCCATGAAGTATTAGAACATGGGACATTTTGAGAATAGTCAATGTTGGTTGAATACATCAATTTTTTTTTTTCTCTTTTAGATGAGGCAGATGCCGACCACAGTGAGGTCATTTCCACCAAGTGTCCCAAGGTGCCAGGCCAGGTGTCTGTGTACACGTTGGTCTCTCCAAGCCCAGACGGTCTGCACCGCTTTGTCCTGGAGCATGAAGCCTCTGACCAGGTGGAGACCTACATCTGGAAGCTAGTAAAAGGTGCGTGGCCAGCTCCTGCTCCCAGCTTCGTATTCCTCTGGTATCTTCCTGCCCTCAGAACCAATAGGGGCCTTAAGAAGGTTTTCCTGATCAGATTCCTCAGCATCCTCCCAGGAGTAAGAACCCCTAATTTCATTCCCATTTCTGCTCCTCTGCTATTTCTGATAGCTCTGATAAGCTTGCTAAGGTCTCTGAATGCTCCCTCTCCTGGTCATGGAGCGTTACTGCACCCTTTGAGGAGCTGGCCTTAAAATCATAAACTCTACATGGTGAGATTGAAGCGTTGAACCATGATCCAAAGCCTGGAGAAAAGAAGATTCAGCGGGTGGGCTGCCCTGTCAGAGGAAACAGCTTTTCCCTTAATGACCGCAGAGGTCAGACCACAAGCAGAGGCTACGCAACCAGGCAGACCTGGGTTCAAATCTCACCTCTGCTACTTCAAATTCTGCCTCTTCTCAATGATCTCAGGCAGTCACTTAGCCTCTCTGGACCTCAGAGCTCTCTTCCATGAACCAGGGAAAGGTGCTTTGGGATAATTCCTGACCTACGGCAAAAATATCCATCTCCTCCTACCACACCAGCTGGTTAGAATGGCAGAGAGGTGGGCTTCTGTTCAGTAAGAGGACGCACTTGTCATCCTCACAGCCTTCCTATGGTGAGAGGAAGGTGTGGAGAGGATCATGGGAGAGGCAGAAGGAGGGATTCTTGCCATTGTTCTGTACCTACAGATCACACTGTTTCCCAGACTGGTGCTAGCTACAGCTAGCTCTCAGACCACCCACACAGCAGGTGCTGGGACAGCAGAAAGCAGTAAGCCCCCATCCTTGCAACAGTTGCTTATAGGAAGGCTTCCTGGAGGGTAGACCTTTGCAACAGAGGGAAGCCCGGGGCCTTGGAGAAGCCACAGAGACTTTGCAAGTAGGAGAACAGCAGCCCTGTGCTCTGATCTGCATGCTACAGACACTAGGTGCAAAGTACCCCCATTTAATCCTTACAAGCACCTTCATGGTATGTAAGCACCTTCCGGCCCCATTTTGTAGGTAAGAAAACTAAGTCTGGAAGACTAGGGTGTAGCTTAGTCGCCAGAATGCTCGCCTTGGACACAGGAAGCCCTGAGTTCAATTCCCAGCACAGTATAAACCAGGCACGGTGGCAGGCACCAGAAGCGAAATCAGACTTTCAAGGTCACTGTCAGATATGTGGAGAATCTGAGAACGTCCTGGGCTAGGTAGACCCAGTCAAAGGAAGGAAGGGCACACTCGGTCTGGAAGACAACATGGACTTGCCAAAGACTGAGGAACGCGCCTGAGAAAGACCAGGAGGGCCAGGATGACACAGAGAGACTGGAGAGGGGACTGACTTCCCGTCTCATCATCACCAGACCCAGCATTAGAGAAATGAGGGGGGTACTTCAGCTCCACCATGCTAGGCCCTACTGTCCTGTCCCTAGCAGTGCTCCCCATTTCCTGCCCCCCTGGGTCACCTAAATGTTCCACGAGTCCCTCCCTGCCCCAGACGGTCTCACCCAGGGCTCATTATCAGGACTGCAGTTTCCTCCCTCGGAGGGATGGAAACAAGTGAACAGTGGTCACTGAACCTGCTGCAAGGCCGCTCCATCTGGGACCAGCCCAGGGCGAAGAGCCTGTGAGATTCTGGACTTTCCTGGTAGGGTAGACTTCAGAGGCCTCAAAGAACTTCCCCTAACCTCCTGATGGTCCCTGATCCCTGCCCCACCCCCCGTGCAGGTGCCCAGAACATCTTGGTCCAAAGAAGTTTGGCTTCACTGTGATCTGGACTGTCCTGGTGCCTGGAACTCACTCAGCAGCACCAGCTCTGCCTAGGGGGCCACGTGCTCATCTGTGCTCAGATGTGACATGGCCTTTCAAAAAGGCAAGGCACATTTGAGACCCCAGGCCCCAAAATATCTTCCTCTCCATATGCCCTACAGATCATGGTGGAGGGTCCCTCCCATCGGTCACACCTGTCTCTCCTCCCATGTTTTTTTGTGTGAGCAATGCAGGAGGGCCCATCCTTATCCCACAGAAGTTCTTTCTTGCCACTCATATGGTCCCTGGGCCTTTGGAGCTATTTGCTATATCTTGGCATCTAAGCCGGAGCTCCAAGGATAGTGCAGGCTATTTCCTGGTTCCTGAAACGCAGGCTCCATGTCTGAGTTTTCCATTCCCCTTCATGGGGTTCCCCTCTGATCCCTGAGTACAGATCTGGTTCTTGGTGTCCCCCAAGGCCATGCTGGCCTAGCTGAGGCCTTGCTGGATGCATTTCTTCTCTCTGGCCAGAGGCTGGGTAACAGCCAGTGCCCCCTCACAACCCATGGGCTTAGGGCTTCATTGCCATGTATGGTGCCGGGCATAGCTTTCCATGAAGTGAAAATACCAGATGATTCGATTAATACCTCATTCCTCCTGGGGCCTCACTAGACTAGATACATATATATTTGTCTACCCATCTACTTATCCATCCACCCACACCCATCTATTCAGCTTGTCAGACACCCTACACCCGTCTATCCATCACCCTTTACATCTTTCCATCCACTTACCCATCTATCTATCCAGCTATTCATCCATCAAGACACTCATCTATTCATCCCTACCCCATACCATTTATCCATCTATCCACCCATTCATACAGACACATGTACATGCACCCCACACCCTTCTACCCATCTATCCATTCATTCATCCTTCTGGTCACCTGTTCATTCATACATACACATAGGCATGCATGCATCCATCTGCCCACCATTCATACATACACATATACATGCACACATCCACCCATCCATCCACCCACCCCACACCCATCTACCCATCTATCCATTCATTCATCCTCCTGGCCACCTGTTTATTCATATACACACATAGGCATGCATACGTTCACCCATCCATCCTTCTATCCAAGGAATAATATATCCTACGTGTTTCACGCTCAGAACCCAGAGAGTTAAGTTCTCAAGAATTCCAAGTCTGAGAGAGAAGGCAGGAATAGGCATAATGACAGCACCATAGAAATGGGGGGGGGGGGATTGGTCTGGGAAGACAACTCAGTTGGTAAAGGGCTTGCTTTAAAAGCATGAGAACCTGAGTTCAGTCCCCGGAAGGTGTGTAAAAATGCTGGGTGTAATGGCACACACTTGGGAAGTGGAGACAGGAGGATCCCAGCCACACCAGCCTACCTGGTGAGCTCCAGGCCAACGAATGGCCCTGCCACAAAGGATGAAGGCAACGTTACTGAGGATGGTACCCAAGGTTGTCTGTTGTCTGTTCCACGTTCATGTACATACATGTGTACACACATCCCCCCCCCACCCCATATAGACACCTTTCAAAAGAAACGGGTAAAATGATAAACAGAACCCAAGTGTGATATGTCCCGCATAGAGGGGGCTAAAATCCCTTTCACGAAGGATCAGGGAAGCCTTCTCACTAAGACCTGGTAGACGGGCGCTTGCTTCACTTGCTGTGCACAGTGGGTGTAGAAAACAATGGCAAAAGGGCTGGAATTTGCAAAGGCTCTGTTTCCTCCTAGGACCTCAAGTATTGGCTAGGGCTGGGCCTCACTCACGACACAATAGCTCCATGTTCTGTGATGCCTGAATGAACACAGCTATGGATTTTTTATCATATGCTGTACACTAGAGGAAGGCTTGGCTGGTCCACATGGTCAACCTTTTCTTACTGTCTCATTCCTCCCTCCTCCCCTTCCCTCCCCCTCGTTCCCTTCACTGTGGGCAGGCATGTGGATGGTGGCAGGAACAGCAGCAGAGAAAAGAGGGGAAAGGATACATGCTTTATTTACTGTGGAGGTGGCAGGCTGTCAGAGACGCCAGCATATTTCAAATGGTCATCATTAGGATTTCTAGTTAAGAGGGGCTAGGGCACTCGTGTGTTGACTGAGGAGGAGGACAGGGACCCTGCAGATTTGGTGTCTGGTCAGACTGGAGGCAGGGAGGGAGGTGGCAGGGTGAGTTGTGAGCTGTCACCCCATCCGATCTGCCTAGCTCATGCCTTGTCTGCCCACAGGAATCTTCCACTTGGTTCAAATCAAGAGAGTCAGGAAGCAAGATTTCCAGAAAGAAGCTCAGAACTTCCGGTTACTCACTGGCACCCATGAAGGTGGGACCTTGGTCTAGGAATCGGGCCAAGGAGGGGAGCAGAGACAAAGCAGAGAACCTCTTGGGGAGTTCCCAGGATGCTAGTGTCAGGAGAGGGGGTGGGCTGTCAGCCACAGACGTCAGTTCCCAGCACAGGAATCCAGTGGGTGTCTGGGCCAGAGATTTCTCAATCCCTAAATGAGAGAGAGAAGGTGAGCTTAAGCAGCTGGCCTTGTCTTGGCTCGGTAGGGTCAGGTCTGATTCCCCAAGCCCTGGTGCTTCCTGTGCCTCTAGACCAATGGTTCTTAACCTGTGGGTCACCCTCCCTTGGGGGTCGGTCACATATCAGGTATTTACATGACCATTCAAAACAGCGGCAAAACTACAGCTATGAAATAGTAACAAAATAATTTTATGGTTGTGGGGTCACCACAACATGAGCAACTGTATTAAAGGGTCTGCATTAGGAAGGCTGAACCACTCACTGCTCTAGGCTGTCACTTCCCAACAAAGGGTCCTTCTAACCACTTTTCCTGACTCTCTGATTTGATCCGCATTACTTCAAGAAGATGGACCTGGATGGGGTTTTTGGAAAAGGGGGAGTAGCAGGTCAGGTAATAGATAAAACATTACCCACAGGAACGGAGTCAGGAAACCCAGCCCTTAAATGCAGGGTGTCTGAAGGCTGAAGACTGTAAGATGGGGACCTCACCTTACCACTAGTGGGTCCCAAACCATAGCCCACACAGTCTGTCCTGCCCCAGGCATTAACATCCCAGTTGCTGTCACTGTTGTACACATGCTTGTGAGTGAACACGGTCACACACACCCCTTGTCTCTTCTACCTCTCTTCCCGCAGGTTACTGGACCATCTTCCTAGCCCAGACTCCAGAGCTGAAAGTCACAGCCAGCCCAGACAAAGCGACCAAGACATTATAACCAGGACCTAAACAGTTGCAGATATGAGATTTATTGTTTTTGTTATTGTATATTAATAAAGAGGTTGCATTACTCCCTAGCCTTGCCTGTTGACTCTACCGCCCACTTCCTCTATTCTAGGCAGATCGAGGCCTTCATCTTGAATTCAGAAGGTGCACAGAGGGCCCGCAGCTTTCCGTCAGCAACATGAACAGGCAGCCTCCTTGTACCCTTACTCCTAAGGCCCCTGGCAGGCTGCTTTTACAGGTAGCACCTCCACCCCTCCAGCAGTTACATCGTGCTGAGCCTAAGGAGAGGAACTAACTTAGTTAGCCAAGTGGTGGTGACCACAGCCTCAAAGTCATTCCCCGGGGCCCGGGGCCTTGTGTGGCCAGCCAGCCCTACTTCAGGGAACCTGGGTTCAGAGGAAAGCTGGAGCTAACATACCTGGAGGCACAGAGCGGGTAGTAGCTGTCCCAGAACTGGAGGCCAGGACTCTGACTTCAGGCTAGCATTTCCCGCCCCCCATTCTTGCAGCCACATGAACGGCCTCGCCTCCAAAGGGATCCAAGACTGCAGTTAGATTGCCAAGTTGGCCCGTTGTCTGCGAAGGCCTAACCCGTGCAGTGAAAGACAAATCGACCATTTATCCTGCCCACGTGTGTAAGTGCTCGCGATGTCAGATATGCTTTATGGCCTGTGACTTCATTTACGTCAAACAACGTAGGATTTACCGCCCTCGCCCCCCTGACTCTGGAGAGGCCTCCAGGCTTGAGGAAGGCACTCTTCCCCAGAGCCTCACAGGGTTAGCCAGGCTGAGCCATCCACAGCCCCAGCTCGTCAGGTTGAAGGCAGTGAAGAGATAGTGGGCAGGGGCCTGTTGACTGGATCTGTGTGCAGCCGCCTAGAGAACCCACCCTGCTGGGTTTCTACCACACTGCCCTAAGATCTGGGAGATCTAAGCAGCCACCAATGCCACCTTGACTGGAAACTCTTCCTTAAGCTCCCATTGCCAGCTCTAGGAAGACAGGCTGGAGAGTCTGCGGTTAGAAAAACCTGTCCCTTCTAATGGATAGGCTTAATTCAGGCTAGCTTGCTCACCACAGGGACTAAGCATGGGTTCTGAGCAATTCGGAAACCTAGTAGCCCTGCCATTCATGGCGTGGGCTCTGAGCATCTCCCCAGAAGTCTTTGCTGAAGATGTCTCTTCAGCAAAGCCTTCCCCAATGCTCCACCCTTGCCCCTTGCCCCACCCCAGCCCTCTTCCCCATTTCCGGGCTGCAGGTGGACTTTGCAGTCCTAGGTTTCCAGACAGGAATGGGTCACCAGTGTACTCTTCCTGATGTGTCAGGACAAGCTGTCTCCCCGATTTCTTTAGTAGTCTTATGTGAAACCTGTAATGTGTGCCCTAAGCCTGCTTACCCCCATGGGGGTGGGAGGCACTGTTTATACATCCAGCCTTCCTTGTTCTATTTGAGCAAATGCTCACAAATTGCCCCATGGTTTCACACGCTTTCTGAGCCACTCCAGGGTAAACTTTACACTAAACCAATGACACGGAGCAAGGAACTGATTGATGTTACCCTTCCCAAATCTGGAGGAAGAGATCAACAACAATGAGGTGAAGAGGAGACATCATGGTATCTGAGTGACGACGGAGGTGAAGGCAGGACTTCGGGGGCACAGTCCCCAACTCCAACTGAGGACACTTACCCAGGCTCTGAAGGATGGGGAAGAGGTGGAGAAATAGTGGAGGGAGGGAGAGAGGAGGATGGGTAATGATATAGGAGCAGAAAACTCTGTAGATGAGAGAAGCAGATGACAAGGAGAATCACGATCGCTCACCCGTGCTGGACAGTGTTGGGCAGTGAGCAGACGGAGGTGAGGCTGTCTTCCAGCCGAGAGGCTCTGGCTTCACCCCAAGAGACACTCTATGATTTAGAGGCTGCCTCTACCTGCTGCAGAAGAATGACCTGGCAGAGCTGGGCTGAAGCCAGGGAGGAACGGTGTAGAGAATGTTCACGAGAGGCTTGGGAAGGAGGCCATGGGGAAGGCGGGGTGGACTGACTGGGGGGAAGGTTAAGAGAGAGGGAAGAATCTCACCAGATAGCTTCACACACACACACACACACACAGACACACACACAGACACACACACCTGGCATCTGAGGATATAACCATAGCATTCTGGGTTTATTATAGGTTACCAGAAGGTTGGGCTAGAGAGAGAAGCTGGGAGCTGTTGACTTATAGATGGTGACCAAAGCCAGGAGGGGAGGGACCCTGGCCTGGGGGAGATTGTAGAACATAGAGCATTTTGCAAGGGAATGACTGGGGAGACCAGAGGGAAGGTAAGAGACTCCCCATGAAGAGGTTGAATAGGTGAGGCTTTGAAAGAGCCCTCTGAAGAGCCAAGGACAACCTTGTAACCACGACAACCATTTGTGTCAGTTGAGAAGCAGAAGCTGAGTTTGGGGGACCTGAGGCTGTATCTGGGAAGTGAGGAAACAGACTTTTAACAAATTTAGCAGTAAGAAGAGGCGGGGAGACTGGATGGCTGTGCATATGGGATGGAAGGCGTTTCGGATGGGAGGGAACCCAGCCAGTCTCGGTAACGAGAAGATCCCAGGAAGAGGGAAAGAGAAGAAAGGAGATCTGAGGATGGAGAGATGAATATTCAAAGATGATCATCTTTTTTGGCTACAAACCCACTGTGGTACCCTGACTCCTTTCACATGAGGCTGCTGAGGAAGAAGGAAATGACAGTCTTGGGGACTCTCCGAGGCTCCCACAGGGGACCCCAGGGATCTACTGTCCTGCCTGAGGTCAGTGAAACCTACTCCACCATCCTAGTATATTCAAATCCATCATCTTCTCTGCTCCCGGAAGACCCCAGTGAGGTGGGGATTACTACTCATGTCTCACAGGTGAGGAAATGAAGACCCATGGAATGAATGATAAAAAACAGGAATAAAAGGAGGAGAGTGGATTCCAACTGGGGTCGTGTGGCCCTCAAAGCACTGAGTGCCCAGCAGACCTGAGCTCAGAGCCTACGTTTCACTTTTCCACCCAGGTCCCAGAGCTTGTTCATTCACTGTGGTGCCTCCAGGTTTCTTGGGGCTGCTTCCTCCTCCTCTTCCTCCTGCAGCTGTTGACACCACCTCGCCCCATCCCTTCAGGGGATACTGGGCTCTGGGAAATGGCGGTCTTTCTGAGAATCAGGATGTGCCCTGTAGTTTGAAGCTGCCTTTAAGGTGAGGAAGGCCTGGGGCCACACTGGCACAACGGCTTTCTCTCTAGGACTGGCTCAGAACCCAGCTTGCCTCAGCCTGGTGTCTGGAAAGCACCCCTGCCTGACTTCTCAGAGTCATGTATGGGAGACGGGAGAAGACTGGGAATTGCGATCAGGTGTGGCCGAGGCTGGCCGGGGCTGTGTGGGTCTCTGTGTAAATGCCCTTCTCTGCACAGGGAAGCCTTCTAGAAAGAAACCTTGGGTCTGGACCTCTGCTCTGGGCTGGTGTAATGACCACACGGGTCCAGTCTCACTCTCAGGTTCACTGATTCCACTCTATCGCAGAACCACACACCACGCCTGAGGTCAAACAGCAATGAACCCACTCATTATTACAACCTGCTCACAGCTCCCTGCCACCAACTTTCCCTTCCTACTTCATCCCTGCTAGATAGTCCTGCCGAGGACCACAGGAGGCACTCAATATACAAGAGGGAGGCATGACAATAGCAGCGAAATTAAGGGCAGTGGGAGGGGCTTGAGGGGGCATATCATAGGTGCTCATCACTACCATTGTTTCCCAGTATCACCGCCACCTTCTCCACCAGGACCTCACATTTATGGGGCCCGGGTAAGAATTCAAGCAGAGTCTGTGTATCTCAAATATCTACAACTCGAGAGTCACGCTAACAAATCATTCCACAAAATATTCCTTTTTGGCCTTGAAGGCCAACTTCAGACACCAAGTTTAGTGACTTCTCCAAATTCCTTGGTAGCACAGGAAAGAACCAAGAATTGATCCTTGGCTCTTTCTCCCCCTCCCTTCTGCTGTTCCTTTATTTTTTGTGGGGAGGAGAGGTATCCCAGGCTGGCCTTGAACTCACAATCCTCCCATCTCCTCCCAAGTGCCAAGATTGCACACATGTATCACCATGTCTGAGTCCTTTTTCCTTCTTATTCTAGCTCTCTTCACAGGGGTGGCCATCCTGGCCTGCATCCTGTGTCAGCTCTCAAACAGCTCCACAGAAGCTCCTCTCCCCACATTGGCCATGTAGCCCTTCTGCCCACTGTAAACCTGGGAGAATCCATCTGCACCAACAGAATGAAGGAGAAATTAGGCAGGTGACCTCTGGCCAGAAGAGGTCATGCCGCGGCTGCCCGTCACAAAGAGACTTGCTGTTGGAGCTCTGAGCCACGCAGCACCAATGACTCCACGGCAGGCTGTCATACTGTAAGAAAGCCAAGGCACTTAGAGGAGGTATTCCTAGATGCTGCAGTTACCAGGACCAGCTGAGCGACAGTCCAGCTACCATAAATAATAGCCCACATATGTGACCAGAAAGCCCAGGCATGGTGAAACACAGACAACGCATTGGCATTGACTGGCCCCAAACAGAAGTCAGAAGCATTCAACAGCAGTAGCTGGGGGAGGGAGCAGGGATTTGTCAGGCAGCAAAGGTAAATGGAACTTGTACAGACCCCACCCACAGTCCTGCTGCAGCCAGTGGTTCCTCTGAGAAGAGGTGAGATCACATTGTCTACAAGTAGACTCTACCCTCTGGACAGAGAATCTCAGGCTTCCTTGTTTCTGAGTGTGGCCTTTGATGGGGAGAGGGTGCCCATTCTTTTCATTCCAGGGGTCCCTGGTGCCGTGGGCACAACTGAGAAAGGGTCAGTATGGGGTCTGAGGGTAGGAGCTGTTTCTGTAGAGGGGGTCAACATGGGAAGCAGGGGAATGGGCTTAGTGACTTAGCACAGCTCTCAATGACAGAGAGGTTGGCTGTCTAGGCCAGAACATGGCCACAGAGATAGAAGTGGATTTAAGAACTCCACCTAAATAGAAGGTTCACAGAATGATGTGG